GAATCCCGCACGTGGCAGGTGCGCTTGACTTCAATCTTAATTGACTAGGATTGTTAGTTTTCCTGCCGAAGGTCGGTCGTTCCCTCTGGGCACTCTGGATTCCTCCACCAATAACAGCTGACCGCCACGAAATAGCAAAATAGTGTTGAAAGTGGCGTAAAACACCAATCAATCAATGTATGGTTTAATTTAGTTTACTAGTTTTCGTTCTGAATATGCATGAGATATTTACCACTAGACATTTAGCAAACAAATAATCAATCAAATTACCGAGGCAGATCGTTGTATTGGTTGTCCGTTGCAAAGCAAAATGTCGCCCTCTTTCCAGCATACTAAATTTCCCGTCCTTAATCGTGGTTGACCCACTTTGCAGATCCTACACATAAGATTTACTTCTCTTTACTAGTTCTCGTTCTGAATATCCACCAAATGTTTTTCACAAGACGTTGATTAAACAATAATCAATCAAATAGCTGAGGGAGGTCGGTGCATTCGCTTGATTAAAAAAATGAGACAATGAAAACAATGATCAGTAACGTCTACAACAATGTCGATATACTACTAACACACACGGAACAAGTATTTGTAAACGGTCCTAGCTAATAATAGCTGCGGAACCGTAGCTCTTAGGTCCTTAGGATATTTTTCGACAATTTGGTATGGACCTATATGATCTTCGGTTCCGCAGTTAAGCTAATAGGAGCATCGGTTTGACTGTGAAGGAAACATAAATACACAGTAATGTCCAGTGGGAGTGTGGAAGTCCGATGTCTCGTATCAGGAGATTGCGACGCTCTGCACATTAAGGATGTACACCTCTGAGGAGCCAAAAATTTCTAGAATTTTTGGGTTGATACTACTGTAAAAAAATAATTGGAGAAGAAAAAATCATATGGTGGTGCACTTCTTTTTTTGCTACGACCCTTTGAAAGTACCCAATTTTGATGATTTTCCCATTTTTCATCAATTTTTACCTATTTTTGGGCTATTATCGTGAAAAAAAAACATAGTTCCACAATTAAACTTTTTTTCATACTTTCCATAAAGATGAAGTGGACCAATTTGAATAAATTTAACTTAAAAAAACTATAGGTAGGTGTTAATATAAGAAAGTTTTATCATATTTTGATGCTTTTTTGTGTCAAATTTACCATGCTGTCAATTTTGTAAATTTGTGATTTTTCTCTGTTTTAAGAACAAAATGCATATTATTTCAACTTCTTTGTTATAAATGATTAAAAAAATTCATATCTAAGAAATCTGAAAAGAAAAAAGTGATATGGGATGTACATGTTTCTGGTAAAATCATTGCTTGTACCCTTACCCATTTTCTCAAAATTTTGGCTAAAAAGACTGACTTGATTGGTAATAAAATTTGAAAAATTGATTTCTCAATAAGTACTCATTGTAAATACACAATTTTTTCACAGAGTTAAGTTTGATTATAACATTTTTTAAATTCATTTATATTTTCCACTTGTATCACATATTTTGGAAATAATTCCAGAACGAGATTTCAACGAGACTAAAACGTCAGAAGAATACATCCTTAAGAACAACTCTGAGGGTACAAGTTGGCCTGTTGTAAGGCAAAATTTATACCCATCCAACAAACATTCTGTGACTGTCAAAATTTCCTGCCCTTCTACACGGTCGACAAATTTTGCAGAACCTAATTATTGTATTGTTTTAACTACAGTCCTGAATATGTATGGAATATTTGCCCCTGCACCTTAAGCAGCCAAAATGTAATCAACTCAAAGGTACAGTTATGGACAAGTGCACGTTTTACCATGTGCACATGCAATACCTTCAAAATAGAAATGCATGATTTAACTTTGTCAGAAAGATTATGCTGTTCAGAAAAATATACGCACTATTTCAGAATATATTGATTTTTAAACACGGCAAAGTCCTCAATTGGAAAGCGCAAACATAATTTGGATCAAATATTAAAACAAGACGTGTGTATTTAGCCTTTATATTTTTTAATATTTTCTAACGTTTTATTGAATTGCAGTCACTCGTTTAGGAGCTAGGAGCTGCGGATACAATGTTCAGACAGACGAACAGACACAATGACCTAATACCCGACTTAAGTCTTAAGTAACCGTAGTACATGTAATATAAAAGCATCAATACTTAAAGAGGACGTGACAATTTGTTTTAAAATCTTAACTTTTCATGTCGAATTTAGCATAAAAACTGCCTCGATAAAATCGATATTGTTTTCTTGATCTTTATGTATGCGGGAAATTTCTGTATCTACAAATCCCAAACGGCAAACAACATCAACAGAAACCAAACCCTTTTTAGTTGTTTTTTTTTTTTGGTCTTCAAAAGTACCCCTTAGTTGACCCCAAGCACAAAATAAAGGCAACAGTAGTATCATAAATCGATTGAGAGAAAACAAATCCGGATTACAAACTAAAACCGAGGGAAACACATCAACTATAAGAGGTAAACAAAGGAACAATAGGATCACTGAAGTGCAACAAAAACAAACGCCAACATACATAGAAACGAACTATTTGATAACAACTGCCATATTCCAAACTTGGTACAGGACATTTAAAGAAAATATGGTGGGTTGAACCTGGTTTTATGGCCAGCCAAACCTCCCGCCTTTATGACAATGTTAAAAATATAGCTAAAATGACAACACAACGTGACAGAAATACAGCACAAACACATTCAAGAACACTCATCACAGAGAAACGCACAAACAAATAATATAATTAAGAAATAATTCATGGGGGCTTGAATGAATTATTTCTATTCTAATAGGACGAATACGGCAATTCTTTTGGATCGAAGCGCTCTAGGTGAAGGCAAATATTTGCCGTTCCCGTAAATAAACGCACTATTACATTGACGTAAAATAACGGAGCAAACTGAACTAGTGACATGCTTAAACTATTTACAATAACGTATTTAGATAGGTTTGGATGAATTTAAATGATAATTTTACTTATATGTTAAAATAATGGCTTATAACACATTTTACCATCGTTTGTTTACGTTTCCTTGTTGTGATGATTTTCGATTTCACAATCGTGCATTTTCCCGTAAAATGCTTATATTCTTACGTCATCGTTCAGTGACGTCGAGTAGATCATTCATAAAAAACCATATGACGTGGGAGTATGATCGGAACAGCCCAAACAATATATTCATATTTTACCACGGGTGTGTACTGAAAGCGTTTGAAGAACGTCATATTAGAATAGTCGATACAACATGCTAACCGCAGAACAACAGCGAACATCTTCCATCAACGACAGACACCACAGAACATCGAAAACAGTGACGCACTTACGTTACGAACATGCAATCTCGAACTTTATACAATTATTTTCACAATACCAGTCCAACCAATTTTCATGACAATGATGGTATTGAAAGGCAAACAAATACCCTATTCACAACTAAACACGTAAGCATAAAAGAGGGACGAAAGATACCAGAGGGACAGTCAAACTCATAGATCGAAAACAAACTGACAACGCCATGACCAAAAATAAAAAGACAAACAGACAAATAATAGTATAGATGACACAACATGGAAAACTACAGACTAAGCAACACGAACCCAACCAAAAACTGGGGGTGATCTCAGGTGCTCCGGAAGGGTAAGCAGATCCTGCTCCACATGTGGCACCCGTCGTGTTGCTTATGTTATTACAAATCCGGTAAATAGTCTAATTTGGTAGGTCACATTCGTGAAAAGGGAAGGGTATTGTAGTAACAACATAAGGAACATATCCGATATCATCTGTGAAACGGTTATTCCATAACGATCAACCAACTCGTGATGGCGTCCGTAAAATTTACGAAGGGATGATTTCAACTTCACCATTTGGAACTCTTGGTTTAATAGCTTCCTTATGAGCAGCAATCCTCTATCAAAGAAATCATGATAGGAAATAAAAGCCCGGGAATATCGTATCAATTGGGAGATATATACTCCGTATGCAGGCGCTGCTGGAATGTTGCTACATAGAAATGGAAAGTTCACAATTGGGAAGCTGAAATCATCTCTTTTGTCGTAAAGTTTTGTTTTCAACCGACCCTCATTGTCAATTTCTAGATGTAAGTCAAGATATGAGGCAGACCGAACTGTATCTGTAGTATCCTTTATCTCTAGTTCGGTGGGATAGATTCGTGCAACATAGTCACCAAATTTAGTATTATTTAGTGAGAGAACATCATCTATATAGCGGAACGTAAAGTTAAAGGATATTGCTAACTTCTTATCTTTCTTCCTAAGAAGTTCCTGTATGAAGTCAGCCTCATAATAATAAAGAAACAAGTCGACACGAAGAGGGGCACAATTGGTTCCCATTGGAATTCCGACAGTCTGTTGAAAAACACGTCCTCCAAACGTAACAAATATGTTGTCAATCAAGAAATCAAGCATCTTGATAATGTCAGTTTCAGAGAATTTTTTGTTTGAATCAGAGTGATTCTTTACAAAGTAGGATGTATCCCTCCCTAAGACAAGATACTTGTATCTACGTTCGCCATTCTTTTTAATGAAACAAAGTAATACCAACTCTTTCAATTTGTCTTTTAGTTTGGAATGGGGAATACTTGTGTAAAGTGTAGAAAAGTCAAATGTTTTAATACTATAACATATTGGAAAATTTGAAGTACATCTGTGTTTTTTTTTATTATATAGTGCTAACAAGTCAGGTGCGAGAAAGAGAAGATGAACTGAGCAAAAAGTATAAGAAACTACGTTTTGGAGACTTAACTAAAGAAAATAGGGTTATAGTTCCAGAGACCCCTTTCTTCATGAATGTGTCACTCTTTTGATTTACGTGTAGGTCCTATACTTCTTCATGTTCAGCAAATAAATGGTGACTGACTTCATGATAGCTCTCAACCACTTATGATCTGACCTTATGATAGCTAACATTTTAAGTAAAAATATCAGGCCAGTTTCTATCTTTATCTTTTTTTTTGTATTTCATTCTTGGTTGTTTTATATACCTGAATTACGTGGTTTATGTTTTATTCAGGCACTAAAATGTCATTTACTTCCTTTCAAACAGTTAAATTTGAAACATTTGTTTTAAAATCTAGATATTTATGTCAACAACAACTTACACGTAACACCGACAAATCACATAGAAAGCAATGTAAAACCAGCATAAATATATAAAAAAAAAAACAAAAAAAAAAAAACAAAAAAAAACCCAGCATGTATCAACATACAAATACAAAATATATTAGTTTATAAAGTTATTAGGTCCAGACTGGTGTCCCTGTATGTTCATATCATAATCTCCATTATCCTGAAATGTCATCTGTTCAGTTTTAAGAGATAGGTGGAGCAACAGTTGTGCTTGGTCCAATAGTAGTAGAACTGGTTTCATTATAAATACTGAGGTCTTTTTCCAGAACACAATCTGTAAGCAATGCATCATAGCAGTAGCCTGGTAATGGACAAGGAATTTCAAATACAAGTATTCCATTTTCTGAACAATATATTATTTTCCCACATGGCTGATAAGGGTGATTAAAAATTTCAAACATACGATTCGTACAGATGGAATCTGAAAAACAATATAAAACACAAAATTACTTAAATTTACATGAAAATCAAATAAAAAGACAAAGTCACTTAGATACATGAAAAGCAATATAAAACACAAAGTAAACATATAATTACATAGTCTGTGTTCAAAAAACAAAATAGGATCACATCCACTGATAATTTTTCTCTCAAATTAACCGAATTTTGTAATGTTCTATGAATACAGGAAAAAAATAACAAAAGATTGTCAAGGCCTCTAAACAATTAACTGTTACAAATATGAAAATATACAAAATGAAGTATGCATTAACACTTTAACATTGATTTTTCAATATTAGAATTTAACACTATCTGTCAAAGTGGTAATAACATTAAATCGGTTACAGTTACAAAGTTCCTATTTTCTTAAACTTACTATGTAGCACGTAAAATGGAACCGTCGTTTGTAAAACTGTTGCACCATTGTAACCATCCGCATTCACAACTTCACATCGAAAGTTTGAGCCGTTGTCGTACATCCCTGGTGTAAACGTTAATTTGCTTTCCAGTTTAGTCGTACAACTCATTGAACTATTTTTCGTATCTGGAACTATACTCAAGTCGTAAAACATATTGCCTAATAGAGGGGGACTAAATGTCCATTTGATATCACCGGAAGTACCCTCAAATTCGACTACACAGTCCAACGACATAGTTCTGTCTTCAACAACCCCTACAGGAAAATAGATTTCCGGTGGTTCTGAAACGACTAAATGAAAAACAGAATGAGTTTACTTTTTGCTAATATCTAAATTGTTTTTGCTGTATTTAAAAAAAAAACATATCCAAGGGTTTTTAAAATTAAGACAATATGTTCAAAATATTATACATGTAGTTGTTGTCAACCATCATAAAAATAAGGAGATGTGGTATGACATGTCAATTTAAAAATGACTTGATGATGAATAGTTTTATGTGTTAATTAGAACAGAATGTAAGATAGCGCAACAAGATCTAGAATTTACATAAAAGCTTCATTTCTTATAACACGTGTTTTAAAAAGGAGAGAAGATACAAAGGAAACAATCCAGTGAAATAGGTCAGAGGCGGATTTAGGGGGGGGGGGGGGAGGCCCAGGGCCTGGGCCCCCTTTTGTGGGAAAATTTTGGTTGGTTATATAGGAAATCACTGAAGCGTGACAGGATCGGACCCCCTCTTAGGCAGTCAGTGGGCCCCCACTTATGAAAATTTCTGGATCCGCCACTGTAGGTCGATTATAGGATAGACAACACCACCAAGTAAAGAAATTAACGTTCGTGCAGACTGAATTTGTGTGTGTGTAATATGGCGGCCCTAGTTATTTCATTCATGCCTTATTAAGTTTTGATTTAAGTTAGTTCGATAATAAGTACCAACGAAAGTTTACTTACATACATTTCTTTTCTTTTTTTACTTCCTTATACCTAATAAAAATCCACCATGATAGTCATTTTGACTAGCCTGCGAAAAAATGTGACCCATAGCGTAGAAAAAGTGTTACTTATATTGCAATTAGATTTCAACATTCTATATGGATTATCTGCGATTTGAGACCGTTCTTTATTTATAAAGTTCAAGAAAAACTGTACCTTTAATATCTGTTTCATCTGATACGACAACATTTGCAGACGATACCGAACAACTGTACGTCCCTGCATGGTTACATTCGAAATTCTGTGCCATCAATACCATTGTTATGGCATCGCTGTGATGATTGGCTGAAAATGTTAGCGAATCATCGACTACAATAACCGTTGGAACTATTGCTCCTGCAGTCATCTGAGCCAATAGACCTGATTGATTGTTGCCATAGTGACGATAAATCAAAAGGTCAATCCATCCAGGAATATTTTTTACCTCGCATGTTAGTAAGAATGGAGATGAGCTGCTGATATTGTATCCAGATAATTCAATTGCTGCAAAAAATCAAAAGCATCTTATTATGGCATTTATGTTATAAATTACTTATTATAACACTATTACACGAAAGAATTGTTTTGAAATCTTTAGTAAATTTATTTACAGAGGTCCCAACCATTTTTTTTTTATGATTACCTATTTTAAAACAATTTTCGATTAGTAGGATTGCACATTTTTCAAATGAAAGGGACAAAAAAAAATTGCAAGTAACAAGAAAAAGCTTCTTTTAAAACAAAAACAAACCATTATAGTCTCTTGTGCTATTTTTTTTGAGAAGTGACGAATACGATAAATGAGATTGCTTCATATGTTGTATATCAGAAGTTTTAAATATTAACTAATAGATCTTTTATCAACATTAACATGTAAGTAGCAAAATAGCTTTTTGGATCCGGTTATTGCTCATACAATATAAATACCAATTGATATAAATTAGTCTAAAATGAGGCTATTTTGGCAGCTTTCAAATTCTGAAGAACGTTCTTTGATTGTTATAAAATACTCTTAGAATTTGTAATTTAAATTCTGAAGAATGTTATTTGAAAGATTTATATTACTATAGTATTACACGTACTTGTTGTATCGACCGATGACGTTGATGTGGCTTGTGCTGTTGATGTTGTTGAAACACTGGTTGACTCTGCCGGATCATTTGATGTAGAATATTGGGCTGTTGATGATTCGTCAGACGTTTGTTGCAAAGTTGTTTGTGGACTTGAAGAAGTCATTTTCTCAGTAGTTATTTGTTGTGTTGACATGGTAGCTTTTTGGGTCGACGAAATAAGTTGTGTGGTACTTTGTGGAGTTGAAAAATTACTCTTATCATTTGTTTGCTGTTCGGTAGAAAGAGGTTTGTTTACAGTTGTTGACTTTTGTGTGGTTGAGGTTGGTTCAGTGGTTGGTTGTTGATTTTGCGGTTCAGTGGTTTGCAGTTGAGTTGGCGGTTTAGTGATTGGATGTTGAGTAGATATCAAGGTTGTTGACCAATGACTAGTAAATACACCAGGAGTTGTCTTTTGAGTGGACGAAGTAATTTTTATAGTAGTTGGACTTTCTGTTGAAGACATCGTGATTTGTGCAGTTGTCTTTTGGGTTGTCAGTTGGTATTTCGTTGTTTGGCTCACGTCAGTTGTTGCGGAAGCTCTTGATACCGTTTGTTCTGTTGAAAAAAAAAATATATTCAATACATATAAAAAGGCTTGAGGAATATTTCAATTCTGAAAATACTCCGAAATAAAAATGATTCGATTGTCTTACCACGTACGCAAAGATTGTAAACAATATAAATTAGCTACTTTTATTTCCTTGGAAATTACTATCAAAATCTACCCTTTTCGTATATGAAAAATATTATTTGTCATACCTGTGTCTTCATCTTCAGGATCATATTGCGCATCTTTGTCACCTGTTAATTAACAAAAAAACATGGGTGTTTTTACTTGGTATCACAATGTACATGGGTGTTTTTACTTGGTATCACAATGTACATGGGTGTTTTTACTTGGTATCACAATGAACATGGGCGTTTTACTTGGTATCACAATGTACATGGGTGTTTTACTTGGTTTCACAATGTACATGGGTGTTTTTACTTGGTATCACAATGTACATGGGTGTTTTTACTTGGTATCACAATGAACATGGGCGTTTTACTTGGTATCACAATGTACATGGGTGTTTTACTTAGTATCGCGATGAACATGGGTGTATTTACTTGGTATCACAATGTACATGGGTGTTTTTACTTGGTATCACAATGTACATGGGTGTTTTTACTTGGTATCACAATGTACATGGGTGTGTTTACTTGGTATCACAATGTACATGGGTGTTTGACTTGGTATCACAATGTACATGGGTACTTTTTCTTGGTATCACAATGTACATGGGTGTTTTACTTAGTATCACAATGTACATGGGTGTTTTTACTTGGTATCACAATGTACATGGGTGTTTTTACTTGGTATCATAATGTACATGTAATTGGTAACATGAGCAAAACATAAATAATTCATAGTTTTAAGTTAGTATCTAATGTGTTTGTTTGATCCAGTTATGACGTCATTTTTGTACACCCGCATAATTTCTTTTTTGAAAGGAAATATTAGCATCATACATATCACTGGTGCTAATGTTCAGTGAAATTGATCCTCTATGGGTACAGTAAATGTCAAACCATTTAAATGATCCTCTGTCGGTTAAGTTAACGTTTAACCACTGATTTGAACCGCCAATAAGTCAGTAGATGTAAAATCTCTTATATGATCATCTACGGGATCGGTAAACAAAAAGAAACATTGAAAGAAGACCGGACCTTGACTTGTGGTGATTTAGGGCTTGACAAACTTGGATAGAAACTTCATCACGATCACGATAAAGAATCTGGAGCAAAATTTAAGAATAAAAACAAACATAACTCATCCATGGTGCTCGAATCAAACCTGTGAGCTAGAACGTAGCCCAGTTACACCCATGATACTTACCTGTTTTGTTGTTTTCGCTTGTGAGGTAAATCGTCAGAGCTATGACAGTGACCGCCAAAACAACAAACACAATACTGATAGCGAGGATCAGATACCATTTAAACTTATTTCCTCTGGACCTTTGAAATCCATACTTGTATTTGTGTGCTTGTAGTGATGTGCTAGAAGCCATGGTAAACGTTCAGATGTTTCAGTAACAAGTCTCCTTATTAGGGTTCTACAAAACAATAACAAATTAAAAATATTAAAAAACTAAATCTTTCAAGATTTAGCAGATTTAAATAAGTCAGGTTAAGGAACAATACATACACTGTAAAAATTGTGCTTAGAAATTAAACACTTGTATTACATGTTTAGTTCTAAACATGTTTAGGATTGTGTTTAATATCTAAACACTTTTTTCAGTAAGTACATTAAATGTAAACATGTCTTGAATTTAAACACTTTTAAATGTGTTATGGAAAGAAAGTGTTCAGGAATAAAACATTTTTTCTAAGCTAAACACGATCCTAAACACAATCCTAAACACTTTGCACTGAGACACGTTTAGATCAAAACGTATAAAAAAAAGTGCACAAAAGATGTGCTTAGAATTGTGTTTAGGATCTAAACACCATTTTTACAGTGTATATTTCGTGCATTTATGTAGTACTTTTTTTATATACTATTAATTGTAATTTTGAACCTTAGTGAAGTACCAGAGAGTGTGACATACTCAATGTTTACTTGCAAATGCATGACTTAATTGATGAAACCAACATTTGGGGGAAACGCTTATTACAACAACAACAAAATTGTAATATTTCAGCACCACCCCAAAAGAATTAATAAGAAATATATTCAATTAACACTTAAATTTTGATGTGAGACAGAAGCAGTTCTTTTGATGGAATAGATAATAGGTAACTCACAGTAAATGTTAAAAGGACCATGCGATTGATTGTAATAGGTAACTCACCGTAATGTTAAAAAGGCCATGCGATTCATTGAATGTTTCCATAAATTGTAATAGGTAACTCACCGTAATGTTAAAAAGACCATGCGATTCATTGAATGTTTCCATAAATCTCAAGTTCCGAATGTAGTCACATCATTTTTTTTATTATTTAATAAATGAATACCATTCCTTAAAAAATTTCGATAAAAGTCGAGATTTAGCAATGATTTCCCATTACATAATTGTTACTGCGTGTTATTTGTTTTAGAAAAAAGTATTTTTCTGGATGTCTATGACAAATACTAAATTAGGTTTTATATTGTCAAATGGTTTGTCTGATAGGAGAAACAACCCTCTCCACAACTTTTAAGGAACTCACCAGAGTAAGGTATTCCTCTCCATAATATCTTAAAAGGGAGTATAAAATAATCAACAGCGTTATATATAATTGGCGGTTTTAAGAAAGGAAATTAGAATATAATATTTGTCGAGCTTTTAATGATATTTAATTTGTTATAAAATGTATCTAGAAAATCTAAAACATGTACTCGTTGACCTCAACTTTATGTTAATGCACAAGCATACAGTCTTAAAAAATAAAGTATTAATAATATTATTTGTCGGGTTTTTAATGGTATCTAATTTGTTGTAAATTTTTATCGTAAAAAATCTAAAATTTGTACTTGTTGACCTCAATTTTGAGTGACTCGATGCACATGCATATGTATCAGTTGTAATTGTATTGTCAAACCATTTATTCTCTGGGGCCATTCGCGTATCAGCAAAATCTCTTCATGTCATTTTATCAAGCAAATATTTTAGTAAAATCAAATATTTAATTTCACATTAAAAATAAAAAAGGCATTAAAACAAGATATTACGAACATGAAAGTTTAAATTTTTTTTTGAGATTTCATATCGTTAATTGTCATCTTGATTTTAAGAAGTTATTTTGTAATACTATAAAGCCTTACATTATCAGAGATTCTGTAATAAGTGCAAAGTTCAGGCCCCGTATTCACAAAACTATCGTAACGTTACGACTGTCGTAAGGTAAGTTTTACGATATCGTAAATTGCAACTTGTATTCACAAAAGAAACTTACGATGCGATGTGTTGTAAATATTGTAATAAACTTACGACTGCTCGATGCCTGTCGTAACTGTCAATCGTGATCGTAAAAATGGAGGCAGCGCTAATATAAGAGAAAACGAACGATTCATTAGACGAACAAGAGTATTTTTAATAGTTCTTTTCCCTATTAAAGCCCGATGATTTCCTATTTATAGATGCAGACTTCAAAGGCATAAAGTTGTAATTATTAGTATGTCTCTATGATGGTGGAAGTACATCTTAAACAGAGAACAACTTGATATATGCTAATATCGGTTTGAAACATTCTTAAACATCCAAGTAGATGTAACGGGGAGCTGGATATTCCCAAAAAAGAAGTACCCCGAAATAATATTGTTTTCCGTCTTGAATGATTCGCGTAAATAAACAAAATACAGACAGATATCGGAAAAATATAATGGCAAGCTCCATGTTTTGGTAAGAGAAACCCAAAAAATAATTCAGACTAAAAATAATATAGAGGGTGCACAATATCATTATATGTTAAAGATTCTGCGAGTTACAAATGGGCTCTATGTACAGTGTGCAGATATTTATGCATTCCCAAATTTTACCCAAACATTCTTTCAAAATTCTATCAAGCTGTTAAGGAGCAGTTGCTGATACAAATGATGGACAGAATGACAAATAAACAAACAAACAAACAAACAGACGAACCAACGAACCAACGAACAGACTCCCGTGTGGTTTGGCTATCCACAAAACCAGGTTCAACCCACCATTTTTTCTTAAAATGTCCTGTACCAAGTCAGGAAAATGGCCATTGTTATATTATAGTTCGTTTCTGTGTGTGTTGCATTTTAGTGTTGTGTTTCTCTTGTGTCGTTGTTCTCCCCTTATATTTGATGTGTTTCCCTCCGTTTTAGTTTGTTAACCGGATTTGTTTTTTCTCAATCGATTTATGAATTTCGAATAGCGGTATACTACTGTTGCCTTTATTTAACAACGGGGGAATAGTTATTTGACTACTTCGTTTTGTCGTATAAATGAGCCCATACAGTTGTAAAACTGGAAAAAATAACTGTTATCTACAAAGTTAACACACAAGGGAAATAAAAGAAAAATAATAAGTATTAGTACACGAATATAAATAGATAAGAGTTCTAGTAACAGGATAAAATCAGATTGTTTATTTCTTTTTAATCTTGTTCAAAAACTTTAACCATAAACTCTTAAGATGGATATAACTGAATTCTTTTTTGTTCCTCATATGGTAAATACATTCAGAGTTAAGAATGTCATTGGTAAGGCAAAATAATAATTAAAAAGTAACTACTACGACCAATTTATGAATATTTACTAATTAGTCCTAGGTACAAGTGTCACGGCCTGTCCCAAGTCAGGAGCCTGTAATTCAGCAGATTTCGTTTGTTATGTATAAACTCATCATAGAAAGCAGGATTTAAATTTTGAATGCCAGATGCTGTTCTCGTATTCAAACGACTCATCAGTGACACAGGAATTAACAAAATCAAATAGAGTACGATGTATGAATAGCATCGACGAACCAATATCCCGAAAGGTTTGGCCAAATACAGCTAGGGTAATCTATATTCCTAGGGTAGAAAATCAGTAGTATTTCGAAATTTTCAAAGTTTTGTAAACTTCTTATTTATGATACTTCATTAATTTTTTTTACATAAACCAGGTAGTTAGTTTTCTTGTTTAAATTATTTTACATTTGTCATTTCGGGGCCTTTCGTAGCTTGTTTGCTTATGCGGTATGGGTTTTTCTCATGTTGATGACCACACGGTGACATATAGTTGCTAACTTCTATTGTTTATCTGTTTGTCTTTTTTTTTTTTGTCTTTTTTTTTGCCATGGCGTTGTCATTTTATTTTCGATTTATGAGTTTAAGTGTCCCTCTGGTATCTTTAGCTCCTTTTTTCTACCGTTCATTCAACACAGAGCCTTGGCTCACACCGAACAGTAAGCTATAAAGGGCCCCAAAAAATTACTAATGTAAAACCATTCAAACGGGAAAACCAACGGTCTAATCTATATAAAAAAACACTCATGAACCACATCAACAAACGACAACTACTGAACAACAGGTTCCTGTTTTGTAAACATTTAACTTCTTATTAATAATAATTCATGTGTCAAAACCCAAATATTATATTTGCTTTTCGTTTTATTTACTTTACTTGTGCATATATTCTTATATTTCCTATTCAATTTATATATTTTTATCTATTTTTATTTACTTTATTTAATTTTTTTACGTTATTACATCTAATATTTTGTATTTTGACTTCTCTAGTCTTTGTACTTGCATGGATTTATGAGAATAAATGTATCTATCTATCTAATTTATTGTTTTTAACATAAACCAGGTCGTTCGTTTTCTAGTTTAAATTGTCACTAAAAATACATTTGTCTTTTCGGGGCCTTTCATAGCTTGCTTGCTTATATGGTATAGGTTTTGCTCATTGTTGATGACCGCACGATGATTCATAGTTGCTAACTTCTACCGGTCATTTGTTCTCTGGTGGAGAGTTGTCTCGTTTCCAATCGTACTACATCTTCTTATTTTGATATAGACAACACTATCGAAAATTATAATGCTTTAGGTTGTACTTATAAATTTGGGGTTTGGCCGTTCCAGGTGGAGGTAAATCGACAGAAAAGCTTTAATCTTCGAAAATTTACAATATACGGCATTATCAGTTCTCAAAATTAATTAAGTAGAGAAAGCATGCAAATTTTCCTCTTGTTAAATTTTAATTCATATTTGATTTACGTAATTTGATTACAAATTTCCTGTTTTTCAAGCCAGCGGCGAATATCGCATTAATGGTACATGTACGTGTAATATATTAAATTGTTACAAACAGAAAAATATTTGAAATAATTTAGTAGTTTGGCATAAATGGTTCTTATTTATTATATTTATAAGACAAAGTGTGATGAGCATTGTACTAAATTATAAATGGATTTCAAATCGGGCACTTGCTGAACAAAATCCTCCTCTGTTACATTGTACGTAAAATGATTGTTCTGTAGATTTACGACATTAGCAACTGCGAGAAACTTACAACAGTACTACGACAACGTTGGAGAATACAAATTACGACATGTCTTATGCATGTCGTATATTTACGATAAATAATTACGATACAACATGTTGTATCGTATCTTTAGTGAATTCGGGGCCTGGATGATGAATCCCATTTCTTTTTATTATGTAAAATAAATAATGATTTAAGACATGTCTTTTTTTAACGATTTAAGAACCCAATACAAAGATTTTTCTGATAACAAAATGAGATATATTCTAAATCCAACTACTAGTCAGCAAGTAAAATCTTTAGGCTCCTTTATTAAACAGTCTATGAAACTGAGGACAGAGGGCACTTGAGGTCATTTGTTGTGTTGTGAGTTTACTATTTTGTTTTATTTTGATGTAAATGTAAATGTCATCTTTATATTTTTGTTTATACATGTAATTGTTATGCCTTTGACACTCTTATGGGTGTAATTTGTGCTTAATAAAGTTATTATTCATTGCTTCATCAATCATTACTCTCCCAGATTTCGATATGGAACTTTTAATAGAGTATGGATTAATAATACAAAATTCTGAGATATGAAAATAAACAGGGTTACTTAGGAATTAACTCATCATAGATAAATAGGTTAAAATTTTGTACGCCAGATGCGCGTTTCGTCTACAAAAGACTCATCAGTGACGCTCGACAAAGTTAAAAGGCCACATAAAGTACGAACATAGACACGCAAAATTGATAGAATTATATGAATAAACAAATGAGTCGTACACTTACACATACATACACACACACATACATGTTTAATTACAAAGAACACAAATTGCAAGCATGTGTCAGTGCTTCGGTATTGAATTGATTCAAATGATATAGACTGCGTTATTTAAATTCTGGGTTTATATAATTATATGATTGTGCTAAAGTTAAGGTTGCAACTCCCTCATCAAAGTAGACCTATATTGGATGTTTATGGCTGTTCTGTTTACGCCCTTATAATTTGTTGTGCTCTTTAACGTTTTATATATTCAAAAACTTTTATCCAAAATGCCAAAAGTAAGTGTACATTTGTTATAAGATCATGTTAATTCTTAGCATTAACAAGAAAATAAACATCAAAACCTTAAAAAACCATTAAACTAAACCAAAATACGTAAACATACAAAGTTATTTACAAATGTATTTTTTTGTATATATATATGGATTTAGTTAAACATATTATAAATTCTGACATATTCAAATGGTGTATTTAATAAATCGGATAATCTTGTGATAATAGTCCTACTATAACCCAAAGCCAAACTTGAAACATCATATTTACAAGAGATATATACCTGAATATCTGTTGTCGCTTACATGTTGTACTGTTCAGTAAACAGTTAATATTTAAACTACAACATGGGTAAGATGATTAGTAAACTATATATCATTAGTACCACTACAAATCAACACACTGCTTTTGAAACATCACGCTTCTCTCAAATACAATCTTTTAAAGCGTTCATTCTGACTGTGTGTAACTATAGACTATCTTTTGGTCTTGTTTTTATAAACTTTATTTGACTTAAATAAAACAAAAATTATAATATACACTTTTATAAAGCCTTGTCGAATACATTATAATCTAATATTTTCTAATAGTCATATGCCTCAAAAAAAATATTTCTGTTATATTAAGGTAAATATAGAAATTTTAAAGGAAAAAAAATACTTTCATTTACATACCGACGTCTTATTAATTAAAAAATAATGTACAAAAACTAAATAAAAATTCGGAGAAATAAAAAAAAAAAAACAATTAATGAAGAGGATAGACCAATAGCAAAGAAACAAATGTATGAAGCTACGTAACAACAAAGAAATATGAAAAAAATAAATAAAATAAAAATACCTAAACAATAAAACACATACGAACAGTAAACACAAACATTTACGAACTTCTATCACACAGGCACTGGTGTCGCTCTACAATAAAGTACAATTATCTTCCATTCAGTATGCACACTTTCAGGACTTCGTTTATATGGCGTTTTGTGTACATAAAATGTGATTTGGGATAAACACCATTGTATTGATTTACGTACACATATCAAACGTTTCTGGGGAAATCTGTCTCGGGTTCGCAGACCAAAAACTTTAGAAAACAACAAAAATTAGAACAGCAGAAATCGTATTAGTGGTAAATTTTACATGGGGTCTATAACATATTTGATAAAACTAATTAATAATAGTCAAAATGTTTGTACATGGAGCATGCAAGTACTGAAACAAGAGCTACTATGCAGAATGTATTATCAGGGACTAATTTTACAATAATTATTTCTTTTGAGCCTCCATATAATTGACATAATATGGAAAACATGATTGTTGAGAAGACAAATCAGACTTTCAACAACTTAGTATCCTTCGACTTTTAAACATTTCACAACAAAAACGCCGCATAACTTTTCAAAATTGTTTTAAAGGGATAAAATGAGTTAAATCAAAATTTCCGAACTTACCTACAATACGGTAATATAAGGTGGTGTTCATCACCATCAGGACTGACTCCTTTGACATGCTCGGCTGTAATATTTCTGCAGGCTTTGCTGGTTATCTGATCTTTGCGGATCGCCGGACGCTTACTATAGACAAAATTTAAGATAAAATTCTAATGTCATTACAAATCAGCCACATTTGTCTTAAGGCAACATATAATTTGTTAATATATATCCTTTGTTTTATTAGTATGACCCTACTATGACTTAATCAGATTTTATCATTTATTTATTTTACATGAATTATATATTTTGGTTTTGCTATATTATAGGTGGGTTTTAGTTCATAAAAGAAATATGTCTCTGTTTTAAATATTAAAAGGTTATAAATATACAAATGTATCTTGAATTGACTTGTATAACACCCAGTACGGCTAATACAATAGGATGTGTGTTCCCGATTACCATTAATGTTTGGTTTTCGTGTACAGCACCTTTTTGTCTGCCTTTCCGGTTGCCTGACAATGGATTTTGCAATCTTACACATCAATTTTTGGTCTGTGTTACCTGTTGCGTTTGTCGCACTAATAGCCGGTATCATATTAGGGTGTGTATTGACTTTATAAAAAAAATATTTGTGTTAATAGAATCGAGGCAATTTTACGGAATCGCATTAGGATCATGGTAAAGATAAAATAAGAAGTGAAGTGATTTCTTTTAAAAGTCGAAATTTCGCAAGAAAAAACTCCACAAAAACTGTCAAATATCGTTTAATCTCAGCTTCTACTAAATGCTCTACTACTAATATTTTAGTACTTATAACTAGTTCTCTTACTAAAATTAAAGAACTTTTCTAATAAAGCTTATGAAAATAATGGAATTATTTATTTTTGAAGTGTTAAAAATTCTTTTAATATTTTAGACAACTTACGTGCTTTCAATGGTACTTTCAATTCGGTTGAAAGTTAAGATTTTTCGACACTCTACACTACATTTTCACAAAATATTATAAAACAGACGTTTTCTTATTTATTTAGAAAATCCTTCGAAATAATCTGCAATCAGCCTTCTGTAATGAAAAAGGGTAAAATGCAAGATATACTTTCTATAGGTTGCACTTTGTAAATAGTTGATTCACAAACCACGCCTCTTTTGGGGAGATATGTAATATTCATAAATATTTTGTTTTGTTTACCTACTGGTTCCCGGATATGATCTCAATGTTTCATCTCATAGAGACACAACTTGGGAATTTTACCAGTAAAAAAACTGTTGGATAGCGGACAAATTGAATTTTCAGGAAAACTCAAAGTAAAGGTAGGGGTATGACAGAATTTTAGTAAAAGTCAAACTCTTAGAAATTCGAGGCATTTGAATGTTGAAAATATGCCGCACAATCCTATGTTTTGACCATGGCAGAAAATAGTAGTGCATAAAAAAATTATGAACTTTCCTTTCCAGGATATGATTTTTAACGAAACTTCAAAGTAAAAGTGGCACAGTTTTAGCCGTAAAAGGAGTTCCTATGGGAATTTGCATTATCTATATTTACAGAAGTGTAACCTATAAGTGTGATGAAATTTTAGAGGGTTTTTTTGCTTTAAATACTAGTAATAAAGAATTCTCTAATTGATAACTATTTGTCAATATTTGTTCTTTTCTAGATTTGGATATTTCAGTTTCACATTTGAAAATCAAAACAGTAATTTACGATAAAAAAAAAACTAGTTTTCAATCCCTATTGTTAACTTTCCCTTTTTGGCCGGTGATTTTCCTTTTGCCCCTTGTATATTTCACAAATCGTTCGCTATGCTCGCATCTGTAGCGACGTTTTAGATTTCAATTAACGCAATCTGTATAACTGCTAAATTATTAAGCCAGAAAGTGCAATACAATCAATTGCTTAAAACATTTATTATTTATTTTTCATAGATACATTTATTTGGTTTTGAAGTTTGGCTGTACCTGTAAAATTCTTATCAAAACACGATATTAGATTCTAATTTTTACGGTAATGTTATTTATAAAACCCGTAAATTTAGATACGATCCATGTCAACTCATTGATCCTTATTCTAAAAGGATTTCTATTTCACACCCACCGTAGATAGTTCTTTGAATATTGTTTTGATAAATTAAACATAACCAAATATGTATTGTTATACATTTAAGAAAACTTATGGTCCTACATCCGTCGATATTATGTACTTATATTTTTGCATTGAATAATGGCTTTCTCGGGTTGTTAATAACTTGTTTTTATACTAAATCCGTTGGATGTGTACTGATTGATACTTTGGTCTGAGAGAAAAAGATTTATTTATTAGTTGTTATTGGTTTTGAACTAGCTTTCAGTATCTGTGAGTGTTGTTTGGTCGTTAATTTGCGTTTTATTTATCTTTATGTTAGTTGTTATACGACCGCAAAAAATTTGCGTTCGTATATTGCTATCATGTCGTCGTCGTCGTCCAAAGACATTTGGTTTCCGGACAATAACTTTAGTATCAGTGAATGGATCTCTATGAAATTTAACCACAAGGTTCAATAGCACAAAAGGAAGGTTGGGATTGATTTTGGGGGTTATAGTCCCAACTGTTTAGGAATTACGGGTTAAAAAGGAGCCAAAAAAGGCATTTTTCTAGTTTCCGGACAATAACTTGTGTATACGTGTATGGATCTCTATGAAATTGTACCACACGGTTCCATACCACAAAGGGAAGGTTGGGATTGACTTTAGGGGTTATGGCCCAAACCGTTCAGGAATAAAGGGCAATTACTTAAGTATTAGTCTATGGATCTCTATGAAATTGAAACACAAAGTTCCATACCACAAAGGGAAGGTTGGGTTTGACTTTGGGGTTATGGCTCAAACCGTTCAGGAATAAGGGGCAAAAAGGGGGACCAGGTTTTTCTGGTTTCCGGACAGATACTTAAGTATTAGTCAATGGATCTCTATGAAATTGTACCACAAGGTTCCATACCACACACAGAAGGTTGGGGTCGATTTTGTGGGTTGTGGCTTTAATCTTTAAGAAACCAGAGGCCAAAAAGGGGCCAAAATCAAGACTTTTCTAATACTGGCTAAGCTGGTTCTTACATAAATTATTTCTGATTTATATAAAGAAACAACAAATACTGATATGGCAGGAGATACACACCAAACAGGGTGTGTAAATTATTATATTTAGTTTGTAAACAGATTTACTAAGTATTGCGCAACAGCAAAGTATTGCACAACAGCAAGAAATCTTCAGTTGAAAATAAATACAAATCTTTTAACCAATTTCAATGAGGATTAATTTAAAGGCTTGAATTGTTTGAGGTTTTTACCATGTTGGATGTTTGGAAATTTTTAAATAGGTCTACATCAAGGTTCAAAGGGTCCAAAATTAGACTTTGTTTGATTTCATCAAAAACTGAATTCTTGTGGTTCTATGATATGCTGAATCTGACTGTGCATTCAGATTTTTAATTTATGGCCCTGTTTTCAAATTACTCCATATTAAGGACCAACGGGTCCAAAATTAAACTTTGTTTGAATTCATGGGTTTTTTTTATATGCTGAATCTAACTATGGAATTAGATTTTGGATATTATACCATTAAGTAGATTAAATGTCCCATTTCAAATTGTTAAGTTATCTGACCACATTTATTCTGTGTCAGAAATCTATAATGTGTCAAATTTTTAATCACTATCCAAATTTAGAGCTGTACCAAGCTTGAATATTGTGTCCATACTTTCCCCAACTGTTCAGAGTTCGACCTCTGCGGTCGTATCCAGCTGCTCCAGGCGGAGCGCATTTTTTTATTGCTTCGTGCCAATTTGATGAGTCAAGCCATTTCCAATTGATTTTTACAATTTGTTCTTATGTTGTGCTGTTACACCATTGTCACATGTAAGGGGAAGGTGGAGCACTCACAAACATGTTCAACACCGTCTCATGTTTATGCGTCTGTCCCAAACCGTTGAGCCTGTAATTCAGTGGTGGTCGTTGGTTGCTGTCTGTCATATTTGTTTTTAGTTTATTGTTTTGTCATAAATCAGGCCATTTCACATTATGTTCTGTTGAGGCCTTTGATATCTGACTTTACGGTAGAGTTTCATTTTTTGTTTATTTCTAACTGAATATCCGCCTGTATTATATATCTAATAGGACTTTTTGTTCTTTACCATTTTAGTGTTAACATCTACTGTAGTCTCTTTACCTTTGTCTTACTTTTGTACCCATTGTATGTCTGTACATATGCATTATGAAATATATATTGTGTGTATCTCTATACCAATGTAATATGTTTGTTTGGATAAAAAAATATATTATAAATAAGATTACAGGGTTTTTATTTTATTTCAAAGTAAAAAGTAAAATCTTTATCAGAATATAGATATAGATGGCACATATCCTTCAGACAATATCACAGTTTATCAATTCACGATGAAAGGGATCAAGTTCCATATGAACATTAAAAAAAGATCGCCACCTTCATCATCATCAAGTTGCTGGAGTTTCCCTTCACAAGGTTTCATAGTACATACTTTTTTTTTGTAAAATAACTGTTAGATGACGAATCACCACAATTAAAAGATTGCGTTGTACTCTAATCTAGGTATCAAGACTATATTTGTATTCTTTATTTTAAGGATAGAAACATGTCTTTTAAAAAATATTTTTTTAAGCCTAAGATTTAAATAGCTGGACCACGTGTACCTGTTTCTGGAAAAAATACCTATATATAATTTAATATTAAGGTATATGGGTAAAAAACATTTCATAAACAAGTGCCTGTGAGCAGGATATATAAAAATCAAGGTGAAAACTAATGACAAACACTATTCTTTAAAATTTGGGACACAAAATTTTATTCCCAAATAGCCAATTGCACTTTTTATTTTTCATATCTTGATTACGATACAATGAAATCTTACCCTTGTGGTCATTTATGCATAGTTACTTATTTTCGGGAAAAGTATGCACTATGAAACTTAAAAGGGAATTTCAAGCAATTTGATTGGACGAGAAGTTGTAAGTATGTGCTAAATATCCATTACACAAAACTCGTCCCCGGGCGAATAAGATATGTTGACAGCTGCTATTGGATATTTGTCTGTTTATATAATCTTTTGAAATATTTAATTTATTCTCTGTTT